CTTGCGGGGAGGTCCGAGGGTGGGTCCCTGAGTAGATCTGCTAAGGGCTCACAGGACCCAGCTGGGGGTGTGGGTGTGGGTGTGGGTGGTGGTGGAGGTGATGGGGGTGGGATGGTGGTTGGGGGAGTTTGGGGCTGGGAGTGGGGTGAGAATAGGGTGAAGGGACAGGGGGTAGGGTGGGGTGGTGGGGCGGTAGGGAGTGAGTGGAGTGGGGTGGGGAGGTGGTGGGGAGGTGATGGAGTGGTGGGGTGAGGTTGACTCTACCTCTGAAGACTCTAGGTTCCACTTGATTTCTGACCTAGGACACCTCAGTAGCCAGAACTCTGATTTAGAGGTAGAATACCACCTGTTGGCACAGATATTTGGAGGCTACTAAAATGCCAGGAGGCCTTGTCTTGGGAAGCTGCCAGAGGGAAGTGCTGTCATGGTACCTCATCCCCACCCCCACCTTCATTGCCCACAGTCGCAGAAGGCAGCAGCCCCTGGGACTTCAGCTGTGGGGAGGAAAGCAGGGGCTGACATTGCTGCAGGTGCAGGCTGGTGGGGGGAGGGTGGGGCAGATACTTCTGGTTCATTTCCGGTTTCTCAACTGTGGAAGAACATATGGAATTGCAAGGATTTTATGAGGCCTTATACCTTCAGTATACCAGGAAAACTGATCATCAGCACTTACCATCTGGACCCAACACACCCCTCATCTATCATCTACCTATCTATCTTTGAATCGTTTTATAATTTATGAAAGTAAAGACTAGAAATCTTACCATTTACAATAGTATGGATGGACCTCGAGGGTATTAGGCTAGGTGAAATAGATCAGCCAGAGAATGACAAAAGCATATGATCTCACTTATAGGTGGAATCAAAGGACAAAAGAAAGGAACAAAAGAGAAACAAGAGAACAGATTGATGGTTGTCAGAGGAAATGGGTGTGGGGCTGGGTGAAAAAAAGGAAAGGATTAGGAAGTACAAATTGGTAGTTACAAAATTGGTAGTTACAAAATGGGGAACAGAGTTAAATGAATAAATGGCAATCAATATGGGCCTATCTATGATTGCTTTAAATATAAGTGGCGTAAATGCTCCAGTCCAAAGACGTAGGGTAGCTGAATGGATAAAAAAGACCCTGCGTAGATATGCTGCCTTGAAGAGACCCACCTCCGAACGAAAGATGCCCACAGACTAAAAGTGAAGAGATGGAAATGGAAATGAAGACCCGTGAGCACTTTCTGCCCTACAACCTCCATTACAGATGCACGTGAGAGGGTAGAATCTTTCATCCATTTGAAGCTCCGTGAGGGAAAACAGGGTGTAACCTCACTGTCAGCCCCTGGGCCAGGGCAGTGAGGTGGAGGTGGGGTCCTTTCCCCAGTCCCTGTTGCCTAAAGATGCACCTATTTGGGACTTCGCAGTCAATTCACCACAAGGTGGCGAACAAGCCCCAGGCATGAGGTTCTGAGGCTCACACACCTCCCGGGTCCTGGATGGCCCCTTCATGACCTGCTGTAAATGTGGGTAAAGACACAGACTCCATGGAACATCTGGAGGAGGGCGTGATCCCAAATATGGAGAGAACTTAGGATTCATTCATTAGGGTAACAACACCTACGGAGTGAATGCTTACAGTTGGCTGGATGTAGGGAATGTGGGTGGAGAATAAGACAGAGACAGCGTTTGTGGTTGAGTGGAGTTAGTGTGGTCCATGAAAAGGGAAAGCTCCCTGCAGTGTCCGTGGTCGTGAAACCGACGGCAGGAGACCTCCAGGTCATTTCACGGTGTCAGCTTTCTGGCTGCAGGTCCCCAAAGAAAACATCAGTTATCTGGTCCTTCTGATAGGAAAGCAAGATGTCATCTTTTACATTTATTTTTTTTTATGAAGAAAGATAGCATTTCTTAGGATTAAATTTTAAAAGGAATGCCTCCCTCGGGGCTTTATAAGAGCGCACACCTCCTGGTGAAACGGACAAAGTTCTCTACAGCGTTTTGGTAATCAAACCAGGGGTGACGTTTACATGTCTCTCTGTGTCACGAAATAAAAGGAATGCTCCGCAATGACATAGACACACGCTCGAGTGCTTTGTGGGGCACTGATTTCCAAGGGTTGATCCTCCCAGTCCTGCTGTCCTATTCAAAATCAATCATGAAGACAATGCCATTTTCTCAGGCCCCTCAATTTAAATTAGATCTCTCTGTTGGTTTTTTTCCTCATAACACTTAGCATAGTTTGTAATTATGTATTAAACATTTTTTTAAAATGACTATCTTCTTTCATCCGACTGTATTCTCTATGAGGTGAAGAATTATATCTGTTGTGTTCATCATTATACACCCTGTATGCATAGTTCAGTAGCTGGTCAAATGTTGAATTAATAGATAAACAAAGTGCCTCCCAAGGATTTGATATGACTCTAGGCCCAAAATAGTAAACACACATGTACTGAGTACTTACTAATGCTAGGCGGTTTGCATATATTTCTTTTAAACAAACTTTTTATTCCTTTTAAACAAACTTTTCCCCCCCTTTAAACAAACTTTTCTTTATTCCTTCTAAATAAACTTTTTTTTCCTTCTAAACAAACTGTTTAAAAGGAATAAATGGGCCTGTGGGTTATTTATCTGTGTATGCTCCTATGGATATTTTTGACCATGCCTTTTGGTGCCTTTCTGTTGGGTTCTGTATCTGAGGTGGAATTACTTGGCCATAGGGTTTGCATACGCTCAGCTTCAGTAGATATTGCCCTATCGTTCTCCAAAATAATTAATAAATCAATTTATGCTCCTGCCATCAGTGTGAGAGTTCTACTTGCTCTTCCTCTTTGCACACTTGATATCATCACTTTTTAATTTCAGACACTTGGTATGTCCTCACTGTGATTTATTTTGCATTTACCTAATATCTAACGAGATTGAGTGCCTTTTCATCAGCTTTTTTGATGTCCTCTTTTCTGAAGTGCCTATCATGTCTTTTACTTAATTTTTTTTATTTTTTTATTTTTATTTTTAGAAAGGTGTGTGTGTGTGTGTGTGTGTGTGTGTGTTTTGTTTTGTTTTTCTCATTGACTTACAAGCATTCTTCGTATATTCTGGGTACTAGTCTCGTTTTTTTAATTCTACATAATAACCCTGTGGTTTGTTATTATGATATTTTACACAGGCAGAGAGCTTAAGTTGGGGAAATAACACTCAAAGAACAATTAGTGAGTAGTACCAGCCAGTAAGCATTAATGTATTTATCTGGGCGGTGCAGGCTAGGAATGTGATGTAGTCGTTAAAAGATCAGTGACTTGTGGGAAAAGGTAGGACTTAATCTAGGACTTTAAGGACAGGTATGATTGAGGAAGTAGAGAGGATTTTGAAACACTTTTCAGGGAAGGTGAATCACAAATGCAAACCGTGGAGTTGGAAGTAATAATTCGATGAACACCTTGGCTTTGAATAATTCTTTGCAGTACTTTAGAGTTGGATTCTTCATTAGGGTAAGGGCATGCCTTTTCCATTCACCAGGGCATGTCCAGTGCCCATCAGTGTCTTGCACATAGCAAGTGCTTAATGAATACGTTTAAATGAAATAATTGAGTGAAATTGGTCCCAACAATGTTCCCGCCAACATTGTGAGACAGGATTTAAATGATCAAGGTCAGGGTTAAAAGACAATTAGAAGACTAATCTGATGCCCTCAGTAAGAGTTGTACATTTCTAAATTGTAATTAAAGGGATATTATAGAGAGTCTGATCAAGTTAGACTCAATGTGATATGTAGGAAAGTGGAGTCTGTCACAGAGAGATCTTGAAACGAGAGATGAAACAATGACTTGCAAAATTCTCGAGTGGTTAAATGAAGGAATTGACTGGAAGCAGGGGGACCAGCTAAGAGGCTATGACCATGATATTGGTACTTATTCACTAAACATTTATTGCCATGATAGCATATATCTGATGCTATGCTCCATACTAATGCAGAATAGCAAGACATGTAAGTGGTGAACCTTGCCATCAAGGAGCTTATGGTCTGAGCAGAGAGCTAAGACAAACACACAAATAACTGTAATTCAAGGAAGAAAAAAGGCTTTAAGTAGAAACTATGGAGTTAAGGGAGGAGGCCAACGACTGTTTTGTGGGAGCCATCAGGAAAGGTTAAGGTAGCATTCTATAGCAGCATTGCTGCCTGCCTCTGCCTTCCTGCTCCCTTGGCCCTCACTATCATACTGGGATGATCTCGTGTATTTATTGTTGCACTTGAAGTTTGGGTTTTCCCTCCCTCATTGGCTAAAGAGTACTTATTTGTTTTGTCACTGTTGTCCTAATGCTTCACCCAGCATATGGAATTAGTATGGATTTTTCAATAAAATCTTGGGATGAATGAATGAAGTGGCATTAGAGTTGGATTCCATGGGATAAGCAGGATTTGGACAAAAATCTGTAGAAAGAAGGGAGAGACAATATTTTTAGGTGGAGGGAACTTGAAGTCAGAGGGAGAGTGAAAGCTGGATATAGAAGATGGGTTTAAACAAGAACCTATTGAGATCCTATAGTGAATTTATTATTCATGACCTTTGTTATTTTTAAGGCCCCTGATATATATTGCCAAATTGCTGGCCAAAAGGGATGTTTAGTTTATGTTCAAATATATGTTCTTCTTTTTGCGTGAATTGTCTCATGTCTCTTGCTCATTTAAGAGAATACTTTTTTTTTTTTTTTTTTTTTTTTAGGTAGGAATATTCATTATGTTCATTCATGTTTGTAGGTAGAATGAAAAGACCTGAAAATGTTGAGGGGGAGGAAATGGAGAATATTAGATTCTGGAAGAGGTATGAGTTGAAGTGGAAGAAAATTGAGCCTCAAAAGAAGAATACAATGAGAAATGGGGTATTTTTGGCTTCAGGAAACCCGTGATAACTACTTTATTCCTTTTCTATGTCATTATTAAGTTCTGAGAGCATAATCCTGTAATTATAGTTCTTTTAAGAAAACAGAAATTGCTAAGATTGCTTTGTTTCTGATTAATGTCTTAAAGGCTCAATGGAAAACAAAGGGGGGAAAATGAACCAAGAAAAGGTATTGATCATCAGATTGTTTAATTGTTAATTTTAATACATTGCCCTTAGCAAGCCATGTGGATAAACATTTTGTAGACCTAGTGGATAGTTGATTATAAGATCTTCTTGTGGAATCAAGCATACTTTAGATTTGTATTCTCTTTCCTCTTTATAATTATTCTGATTGCTTATTTGAGCCAAAAACTATGAAAAGGCTGGGTAAGGTGTGGGATTTAATAAAAGTTTGTTGAGTGAATGAATGAATGAATGAATATGTAGCATAGATTTAGTTGCAACTGGACATTAGTAAAGAAAGTCATAAATCTATTTTAATTGGGTGCTAGATATCACAATTATTTTAAGTTATGGAGATATCTGAGATTATTTTGAGGGATAACATTTCAGAATAAACTTAAAATCTGTGTGAAAAGTATCACGAAACAGAATTATCTACCACTATGAATTAATGATATTTTACGATGGTAAGATAATATTGTAGAGTCACATCTGTCCTATTGCCACATTATAAAAAGCCAATTAGTCAGCTAAAGAAATTGGCACCTGTTAAAATGTGAAGAGGATTTTTCCATTTTTAGTGATAGGTAAGTTGTGATAAATTATCTCTTGACAAAGTTCATTTTAACACCTGGCAATAGCATCCTATGATAGGCTGTTTGTTCAGTGTGACATTTCTTTGGTAGTAGCTCTGTCTGCTGAATACTTTATTATTTGCTCTTGTGAAAACTTAGGAAGGAAATTTAAAGGATTATTCATCTGCATCTGAGTGTGTACATGTCCAGAAGGAAGAAGTTCGGGGCATGTTGAGTCCTGGGACAATGATAAGGATTCGTTCCTCTCTCAGAGAGTGGCCTTGCTTATCTTCCAAGACCTGGGGAGCTGATGTTTGTTATGCTTCAGCAAAATCCTATCCAGGCAGAAGCTTCCTGGTGTACTATTGCAATGCTTGGCTGTCGTTGGAAAAGACAGGAAAATCTGAGATCTCATTGCTGAGCTGGTGATGGCAGAGGCTTATTCCCTGGCTGTCTAAGCGTGGTTTTGATGCTCCTCGTTGGTTCTGCCTGTTTGCTGCAGGATCTCCTGCAGGTACTTGTACAGTGGACTGGAATAGACTGCACTGCTCCCTGCTGAATAGGACTCTTCGTTCCTCCGAGTCCTCTCTTCAAGGCCTGCCTCAGGGACTGAAGAATTGTGTCCCTTCTTGGCTGGAGTTTGTTCTCCTGCCAGCTCTTGGAAGCTTTTATCCTCTTCCTCTAAGGTGAGAAGTTTCTTGGTTTCGAGGTGTGTCTGGGACTCTGGGGGCTCACTGGGCTCCACAGCTGGACCTGGGCCTTTAGTCCCCGAGCCCTGAATCTTGTGCTCTTTGCCTTCGGGCGGTTCCTGTTCCTTGGTGAGCTGCTCATCCTCTCCTCCGACTGCCGCCTGAATTCTGTTTTCCTCACCCAGTGCCAACTGTGTCTGGGTGTCTGGGTTATCATTGGGACTTCCTTGCACAGACGCTTCGTGTGAGTCTGCTTGACTCTGGGAATCCCCTTGCATAGGCGGGTCCCTTGTCTCTGAGCTGCTGTCAGCATCCTCCGGAGCCAGGCTGTTGGGGGTTTCAGAAGACCCTTTATCCTTCTGTGTGACTGTTGGCTCCTGATCTTCCCCCTGGAAACCAACCTCCTCCTTGACAAGCTTGTCTTGAGTCTTGGTGACCCTCTTATTTTCTCCTCCAGACCTGTTCTCACGCGGTGACGACTCCCACATTCTTTCTCCTGCTCCTGGTATCCCTTCTGCTGCAGGGACATTTTTGTTGCTCACAAGTGCTTCTGCTGTCCCTTCCTCTGCCTCTCTTGCCTCTTCTCCTGGGGTGACTGCTTCTTCAATTTCAGGATGATTCTGACCTCCTCCTTCTGAGCTTAACTCTTGTGTCTTAGAACCTTTTCTGGCATCCCTTTCTTTTGCTGATTCCTGGAGTTTCCATCCTGGATACTTGCCACCCTGTGCTTCCTCTTCCAGGGCTGGTGGCTGAGACTTCCTTTCGCTTTCTTCCCTCCCTACGATTTCCTGGGCCGCAGAGTCTCTCCCCTCTTTCCTTTCAGTTCTCACATCAGGTGTTCCTGAAACACGTCTGCTGTCATTGTGGACTGACAAGTTGCTTGTTTCCTGTTCTTTTTCTTGTGCTGGGGGTTCTTGGGTCTCAAGTGTTCTGCCGTCACCCTCTGGCTCAGCTGCATTCTTGGTTTCCGGGGGTGTCCTGTCAGCATTGTTTCCTGGTTCTTGAGTCTCGGCTGTTCTACCATCATCCTTGGAATCAGTTTGGTCTGGCAGGTCTACGCCTTCTGAACTCGGTTTATCTTTTCCTTGTGGTGGCTGTTCTTGTGCCTTAAAGGGTTCCTTCACAACCTCTCCTGCTGCAACTCTCTGATCTTCAGGGGGTCTCTGTGTTGTTTCTTCTGGGGGAGAACTTTGGGTTCCCAAGTTCCCTTTCTGTTCTCCAATCTGACCCCTTGTCTTAGTGCTACTTTGCTCCCTTGCTGGTTGATCTTCTTCCTTGGGAGTCTCCTTATCCTGTCCCTCCTCCCCCTTTGTGGGTCTGCCCTTCTGCTCCGATCTTGCTGTTGGCTTATTTGTCTCATTTTCAGCCCCTTTGTCTCCTGTTGATGCTACTCCTTGGGTCACTTCCTGACTCTGTCCATCTTCCAGGTGTTGGTTCTTCAGTTCATTGTGCCCAGAGGCTTCTCCTGGCAGTTTGTGAGTCTCGGTGTCTCCCTGTGGTTCCACCCTGTTGTAGCCTCTTTCCCCAGGGCTGAGCTGAGCTGATGACACCATTCCCAAAGGAAGCTCTAATTTATCTTGAGTCGGTGGAGTTCCCTCTGTGGGCTGGCCAGTTCTGCTGGTTGCCTGGAGATTCATATCATCTGGCTTCTCCTCTGGTGTAGACCCTTGTCTTGGTTCTGAATTTAATAATGATTGTGTGTCAAGATAATGGAGGTTTAACAAGTTGCAGATTGTAAGAACAAATTCGTCAAAACTGATGGTGCCATCACTGTCAATAGTCAGAAGATTCAAGTTTCTTTCTACAGCATGAATGACACGTGGCTGCATGAAAACACAGTGAGAAATCAGCCTATTTACAAGAAGTCAAGTGTGTTGAGTGCCTATATGTTTCCCAAGAATACTCATTTTTTTTAGCCCTATTCTTCAGGCACTTGTGAGACTTCCCAAAATAGGAAGATTTAAAAAAATATATATATATTTTATTGATTTTTTTTTACAGAGAGGAAGAGAGCGGGATAGAGAGTTAGAAACATTGATGAGAGAGAAACATTGATCAGCTGCCTCCTGCATCTCCTCCCTTCCCCCACCACTGGGGATGTGCCTGCAACCAAGGTACATGCCCTTGACAGGAATCAAACCTGGGATCCTTGAGTCTGCAGGCCGACACTCTATCCACTGAGCCAAACCAGTTAGGGCTAGTAAGAATTTTTTTTTATTCTGGATGCCATTTTATTTTATTTTATGAGAGTGCAAAGGAGCATTTACATCACTTATGAGTTGCATTTAGATATGTACTAGTTCACGATTCCTCTCAAAAGCTTCGTTTTGAGCTAAGGAATATTGGCTAAGCAATTGCACAGAGTGGGGAGCTGAGAATGAAAAAAGTTGTTCAACAGCAGTGAGTGCTGAGAGCTGGTAGCCAGGTGTAAAACAGGCAGGGATCACTGATGCCCGTCCTGCTTGGGTTATGGAGAAAGGACAGATGGAGGATTTGTGAGCACCATACCTGAAGAGCGTCCCCAAACTCTCCCTGGATGAGCCTTTTCAGCTCTCTGCAGGTCAACGTCGCCTCACCACCGTCTTCCCGGGCATATTTGTGGAAGGTCTCGATTACACGGAGGACATCTCTCAGGAGCCGAGGCATCTTGACAAACTCAGGAGACTCTGAGGAAGGACAAACAAACTTGATCTTCTACGATGGGTCCTTCAGGAAGGAGATAACAAGATCGTCGTTCTTTCTGACTCTGTCCCAGCTTCACTGCCATTACCTGCTCTCTTCTGCGTTTTAAAATACTGTATTTGAACTTCAGGGGGTGATTTAGTTTTGTACCAGGTAATGTGGTGAAATCAGACCTAGCACAGGTAAATGTTAGAAGAGATAGTTCACCCTATCCTTCGGAAAACAGCAACGCTCATAGGTTCAGAGAAGGCTTTATTGCAAAAGGAGGGTGGAAAGAGAACTCAAATGTAAGTGCTAAAATACACAGATAAAACCAACAAAGTGAGACCAATCCTTCCAGCCTCACCTAACAGTGCCCACCTGTTTTCCTCCCACCTTGACTCAGTCTAACTCCTCTGCTTACAGAAGTGTAACTTTTGAAGTTAGGAAAGTTTGTAGAGAAAAGAGAAGTAAATCAACTGCTATGTTTGAAGCCAAAGCAACTTTTATTATTATTATTATTATTATTATTATTATTATTATTAATTTTTAACCAAGAAGACATGGCTCAGGGGCTCAGGGAACTTACTGGTAAAATAGTCCTGACTTTCCCCTCTCCCTCCATCAATACCCATCATTTCAATAACTCTGCATTTTTATTTTAATATAGGTCTGAGTTCTATGTCTTGTTAAATAATATTCATGCCTATGTCATACAAACAGTTTGTATTTAAAAAATACATATTTTATTGAATTTTTACAGAGAGGAAGGGAGAGGGATAGTCAGAAATATCTATCAGCTGCCTCCTGCACACCCCCTACTGGGGATGTGCCCACAACCAAGGTACATGCCCTTGATTGGAATCGAACCTGGTACCCTTCAATCCGCAGGCTGACGTTCTATCCACTGAGCCAAACCAGTTATGGCAAGTTTGTATTTTTTATTTTTTAATATATTTTATTGATTTTCCACAGAGAGGAATGAAGAGGGATAGAGAGCTTAGAAACGTCCATGAGAGAGAAACATCGACCAGCCGCCTCCTGCACAATCCCCACAGGGGATGTGCCCGCAACCGATGTACATGCCCTTGACCAGAATCAAACCTGGGACCCTCCAGTCCACAGTCCGACGCTCTATCCACTGAGCCAAACTGGTTTCTGCGCAAGTTTATATTTTTTAAAACAGAAAATTATCAAAGAAGTTCTGGAAGCAAGTGATGCATTTGGGTGGCTGGACCCCCTTCCTCCCCTCTGCCCTCCCCCCCCCCCGCCCCCCATTCAGTATCATCAATAATGTTTCTTCTGAAATCCTTACATAATTTCACATGGAAGCAAAGCAGTAGCTCAAGAGATACTCATTGAGACTTACCTTGTTCAGGAGTGAGAACAAGTGGGATGCCGGTCAGCTGGTTGTGAGCTGATAGCAGGCACTGAAACCTTTTATTGAGTCTCTAATTGCACAGTTTGGAAGGAGACATCCTCTGGGTCTCATGCCCTGATTCATCATCACACTGACTCTGTTTTTCTGCTGCCAGCTTGTCTTACTTTTATTTCCTTTTTTAGGCAAATTCAGTTCAATCTTGATTTCAGACTCATCCAGGGGAAGGGAAGAAGGTATCTTGGTTCACTATTGACTTTTTGAGGTATCTTTGGGGTGATGATTTTTTTTTTTTAACCTAAGGACACAATTACATTTCTGTTGGACAAATCATAGGCTGGTAGGAGCCTCAGAAGTCATCTGATTGGTCATTCTACTCAGGATAGATTTAATTGGACCCAGCCCAGAAAGATGGGTGTCAATCATGTGTTTAAAAATAGAGGCCCCTTTTAGCCATGTGACAGAAGTGGAGATACCAGTTGATTCAGGTGTTTTAATGCTCTGCTCTCTGTGCTTACAGGCAGAGTTGGGGGTTGGGGGGAATCTCAGCTGGGTTGTGCAGCACTTTGCTTACCTTAGATGTGCTATTTAAAAAATGTGATCAGTCAAAACCAGTTTGGCTCAGTGGATAGAGCGTCAGTCTGTGGACTGAAAGGTCCCAGGTTCGATTCTGGTCAAGGGCATGTACCTCGGTTGCGGGCACATCCCTAGAAGGGGGTGTGCAAGAGGCAGCTGATTGATGATTCTCTCTCATCGATGTTTCTAACTCTCTATCCCTCTCTCTTCCTCTTTGTAAAAAATCAATAAAATATATATTTTTAAAAATGTGACCAATATCTGCTCTTTAAAGGCAGTTTTATAATCTAAGGAGCATCTATTTAACTGTGTTCTTACTGTAAAGGGGAAAGGGAGACAGAAACTTTTAAGCTGAGGACAGGTAGGAGTAAAGCCCCGGATGCTGAACTGGCAAATGTTTATATTTCCTCCTAGAACTGGGTTCCTCTTAGAAGAGAATATATAACTAACATGAGAATTAGAATTTGTTTCTGTTTTAGATATTTAAAGAGAGAATAGAGTATGATTTAAAACATTCGTGCCAGTTTTTAAGAAATAGATCCATGAAAACAAGTGTAAAAGATAAACCAAGATAATGGAAGGGTGAGGTTGGAGGTGATTTATTATGTGAGAAATCTGAGACTAAGGAAAGCATTGATATTGATCAGAATCATTTTATCTTGTGGATAATCAAGGCAAGTATATAAGGAAACTGAATGTTGGGGGAGGGGATCTACATTAACAGTTTCTGTCTAGAAATAAAATTTTTCAGCATGCCCCTAAAACAGGGGTGGGGAACCTTTTTCCTGCCAAGGGCCATTGAATATTTAGAACATCATTGGCTTATTATAATTCACTTAATATAAGATTATGTTGCTATGAAAAAAGCTCCTAGGTTTATTGAATTTCAAGTCCTGGCAGCGGTGCCTTTGCAGGGCCAGACCAAGTGATTTCCTTTGGGGCCTAATATAGCCTGAGGCCAGATGTTTCCCACCCGTGCCCTAAAACGAAGAAGCTCCTGAGAATTGAGATTGGCATATAAAAATCATTTTAATTCTTATCAGTCCACATCCCCTGAGAACCAACTATTTCTCACTCACGGTACCAACTACTGGGATGTTTAAAGTTGAGTAAGTTATGTCTCCCTGCCCTGGCACTCACAGGCCAATCTCTTGAGAAATGATTGAAGGAAACTAAGTATGTTCAAGGCTGACTTAAAAAGAAAGACTCAGTGGTTGAGTGTTGATGTATGAACCAGGAGGTCAGGGTTCGGTTCCCGGTCAAGGCATAGGCCCGGGTTGTGGGCTCCATCTCCAGTGTGACCAGTGCAGGAGGCAGGTGATCAACGATTCTCTCTCATCATTGATATTTCTATCTCTCTATCCCTCTCCCTTCCTCTCTGAAATATATTTAAAGAAAAGAAAGACTATCAGCGATGAGAGAGAATCATTGAACGGCTGCCTTCTGCATGGCCCACATTAAGGACTGAGCCTGCAACCTGGGGATGTACCCTGACTGGGAATCGAACCATGAGCTCCAGGTTCATAGGTAGATGCTGAACCACTGTGCCATGCCAGCCGGGCCTCGCAGGGATTATTGTAATATCCTGCTAATGCTTTCCTTTTAACCCTCTCCAGCCCACCATCCACATTGCAGCCAGGGTGATCCTTATAAACTATCAATTCGGTTAATTACTCCTCTGTTTAAAATGACAAGAATTTCTTGTGGTAGGGGGGACCAGAGTTTAAAAGGTGGATTGTCTCTAGAAAGTGGAGGGCCTTAAATTCCAAACTGAAGATTTTAGACTTTATCTTGCAGAAAATACAACAATTGTTTTTTAAAAGAGGAGTAATGACAAGTAGAAATCAGACTTGAAAAAAGTTTTTGTAATTTGAGTGCCTGCCATGGATGCCTGGAGGGTTCAGAAAATAATACCCATTCAGAAGTCTACTTTTGTTTTGTTACAGATTATTGCATGTGACTGTCAGCTTTTACTAACAAGGAAAACACGTGCTTATTACTTAGTACACAGATTATAATCTTCAGAAGATTACAGCCCAGTACACTTGCTAAACAAACATAATTACTATGACTGAATGAAAATATTAGCCATGTGTAATTAATGTAGAGATGGGTTCATACTTAACTAGTGGCTCAGATTTCCAGTTCAAGTGAAACTAAGTTCCAGGACTTTGCTTCTCCCCCCCCCCCCCCCCCCCCCCCCAGAAAAGAAATGAGAGTAATTAAGTGCATATGCGAAGTTCACAGATCTGGGCAATGATCTTTGAAAGTACTAGGGTCACAGAAAATGGAGTAGGTAGGGATCTTATCCTTTAATGAATAAACCTGGGATGATAGGCATTTTGAAGAGAAATTTGGGAGACAAATTGAGAGAAGTTCAGGTCTGATTGGCTAGAAAAGAAAGATCTTTGAAACTGGAACTAGGCTCCGAAGCTTCAGTAGTTAACTTTCCCCGTTTTTGGTAGAGCTGGGCTGAGGGATTATTTTGAATTGCTTTGAGAGCTTCAATTGGACAAGCTGAATGTTAGAATTAAAGTAATTATTTTTCAGTCCTGGGAATAGCCTTGGTGATAGCTATTCTAGACTCACAGTTGGACATATGAAACAATGGAGCTTAAATAGCTTGCACAAGGATACACAGATAGTCAAGTGAAGGAATAGGCCAGAATGTCTACTTCACCACTGTACGCATATTGCCTAGAATGTCTGACACAGAGCAGGAGCTCAATAAATATTTATTAAATGAATAAATAATCTCCAGGCTTCTTATTACTTGTAGTATTATTTCCACTGCATCATAGAGAAACTACGACAGATTTAATAATAAATAAATAAATAAATAAACAAAGAAAGAAAGAAAGAAAGAAAGAAAAGAAAAAGGGGGTCTTTGGGCAACCGGGACAGGCCTGCACAATGTCAGAGGATAAAGGTGATTACAATACAGATAGATTTTTCTAGCTAAAGAACGTCCCCTTTCATGATGTATTAGTTTGCTAGGGCTATCATAACAGCCACAGAATGGGTTGCTTAGCCAATAGGAACTTGTTTTCTCACAATTCTAGAGCCTATAAATCTAAGATCAAGGGGTTGGTAAGGTTGGTTTTTTTTTTTTTTTTTTTTTTTTATGCTGAAGGTTATGAGGGAAGGATCTATTACAGGCTTCTGTCCTTAGCTTCTAGATGGCCGTCTTCTTCTTGTGTCTTCACATCATCTTCCCTTTATTATGTGGGTCCGAATTTCCATTCATTTTGGACTAAGGCCCACCTAATGATCTCAGTTCAAGAAAATATTTATCTAAATACTGCACCTCATATTTTCTAAAGTACTGGGGGTTAAAACTTCAACATATAAACTTTTAGTGGGGGGACATAATTCAGCCCAGAACACATAGAGACCAGCTTTGCTATCACAGAGCATTTTAAACCCTCAACCCGATTCTTTAGCAGCAGCCAAGGTAATGTTAATCGAGCTCCCAGTTTATATTTAAGCAGTCAATTGCCCAACAGCCTCAAGCTTCTGCCCATGTGTGTATATTAACTATGTGAAGCAGGACGGATAGCCTGCCAGATTGCTAAAAGAAGAGCCATAGGGCATGGGCTGGCTGGCCCATTTTTTTTTTAAATGAGGTTATTATAACTGATGAAACAATACTTTCTTCTTTGAAAATGGCTCTTTCCTCATCTTGTAAAATTCTGTAAGACATCGGTAGGGCGTTGATTGTTTTTATCAGAGTTATTATTGTTGAACTGTAGTGTAGATGATGAGTGCATATTTCAGGAGTTTCCTGGGGCTCTGAAATAAATGCCTGTTGAATGGATCTTGGAGAAAGCCAGTGAGGCTCTTCCATGGTTTCTAGGAAGATCCTTAAGTAAAGAACATACACTGATCTTAGGGAGAAAATAGTTTTGTAGTTAGAAATCATTTGAAATAGGTGATATTCCATGGTAGTGTGTCAGGGGATTTCCAGGTTCTGTCTTTGGTGGGCGTCTGCTATTTGTGTTCAAGTGAGGGAGAGGCTGGTGCTCCTTGCAGAAAATGCCATCTTACTCCATCAGAATGATACTCAGCAGCAGAGCTTTCTTGTCTCCACATCCGACAAAGATGATGAGTATCTATAATATAGGACGTCTTCTCATCCATGACCCTCACAATTAGAAATACTATCCTGGATCAGGGCCTCCTTTGGACTTATTCCTGGTATCAAGGCTTGAATACTAAATATAGACTCCAGCAGATGGCACAGGAACATTAGATAATAATCTGATATTTTTGGCACTATTAAACACATTCTGACTGTCACTTAAGAGATGGGGCTGCTTAAACCAACAGCTCATCTACAATTTCTATAATGCTGAGCTAAACTTTCAGGCCATTTCCTACTATCAGCTCATTAGACATCAAAGACAAAGAAGCTGCTGCATTCTTGAATGGAAATATTAACAAACATTGGGAGTACCATTATTTGCCATGAACAGTGAAAAAACAAAACAAAACAAAACAAAACAATCGGTGTGGCTCAGTGGATAGAGCATCGGCCTTTGGACTGAAAGGTCCCAGGTTCGATTCCGGTCAAGGGCATATACCTTGGTTGCAGGCACATCTCCATTGTGGGGTGTGCAGGAGGCAGATGATCAATATTTCTCTCTCATCTCTGTTTCTAACTATCTCTCTCCCTTCCTCTCTGTAAAAAGCCAATAAAATATATTAAAAAACAAACAAACAAAAAAACAACCAAGCACAGAAAGCTGTGAGGTCATGAATAAAAACACTTGGGCAGAGAATCCTAGCTTTGGGAGCTGGGGGAGGGGGAGCGGAGGGGGCACGCTAACAGGGAAAATTGGTTGGGGAAAACAAAGATTGTGTGTTTTCTTTTCTTTTCTTTTTAAAATTTAGACATAATCATAACCAAATACCCTTAAGTGAATGGCAAATTTTTTCAGTTCCTAGGCCACTAGATACTGAGCTATGATTTGATGCATAATTAAAACAGACAAAAATAATTGTTTGCTAAACATTTATTATTAATTTTTAATACAGTCCAATTATTTCAACAAGAATGTCTCCAAGGCAGTATTAGTAGGCTTCAAAGGATTGTGGGCTGATGGGTCTTCTTTAGGACCTGTAGGAACTTGCCCCTCTGTTTACAAAGTTTTCCCTTCCCTTCTCCCATAATGCTCTCTTATTGGCCCTAGAGCAAGATAGATGTCTACAGGACCCTAAGCATGTTTCCTCTCAGGTAAAATTAATAAAGGTAGTAATATTCTGAAATTTACCAAAGATTGGGGAAGAGAACTGAGCATTATAGACTGCAGCAAACACAGTTTTAAAATTTGAGTTCTGGAGTTGTTGAGAAACACCTTACTTTGCTTTATGAGATTTAAGTATTTATGGAGTCAGGTGTAAAAAAAAAAAAAAAAAAAAAAAAAAAAAAAAGAAACCAGTTCAAACTCTAAGTTTTAAAGCTAAATGTTATTCTTAATAGAAATTTCTTCCAATTATGGACTTCAAACTTTCACAGGGAGTTTTCCTGTGCAAGTCAGTTTCTGTAGAAGTCAGTTTCCCTACAGTAAAAATCCAGCCCCCTTTCACAATCTATGCCAATTATGCCAAAAAGATGAGAGGTTATGTGGAGGTAAATATAAATGTAATTTAGGCCCAAGAAGAAATACCAACTTGAACACTAAAAACATCTTAATTCTCCACCAGATAGGTCAACCATTTAAAAAACAGACCTGATTCTTTTGACTCTCCCATCTGATTATTCTTGTTACTTCTGAAAGCAGCAAATGAACGTGTTCCCCAAACAAAACTCCTTAAACACATTAAATGACTTGTTTTTTTTTTTTAAATGCACACCACATCTGCACCAAAGAGCAAAGACAGCCTGCAGTAAAGAACTACTTGAGGAAGACTAAAAGAAGTACAAAGTCCATGACATGAGTCTAGTTTAAGACTTTGGAAAAAAAAAAGACATTCTAACATAACAGTTTCCCCACAACCAAAAACATTTGAATCATCTGGGACCCAGTGTTTCCCATTTTCCTTTGCGGAAGCTTTGGAGGCGGCAGCATTTCTTAAGGACGGTATTGGGACCTCTGCTCTTGGATGTACTCATAGAGGGGGCTGGAGCGCACCGGGGCACGGGCAAACGGACGCTTGCCGGACTCCAAAAGCTGCTGCCGGCCCTGATCCTTTCCCTCCCAGCCGCGGCCGCGCCTCTGCGCCTCCTCCAGCTGGCGGAGCTGCTCTTCCTCCCGGATCTTCCTCTCCCGTTCCTGCCGGCGCCTCAGCTCCTGCTCTTCCCGCAGCTGCTGCTCTTCTTGGCGGCGCAGCAGCTGCTCTTCCCGCTCCTGGAGGAGCTGTGGATCTTCGCGGAACTTTCTGTCGCGGTCCCGGCGAAGCTGCTCCTGGACCTCCCGGCGGCGCAGCTGCTGTTCCTCCGCTCGGAGCTTCCTGTCGCGCTCCTGGCGCAGCTCTTGTTCGAGCTCCTGGCGGCGCCGCTGCTGTTCCTCCCGTTCCCGGAGGAGCTGTTCCTCCGCTCGGAGCTTTCTGTCGCGCTCCTGGCGGCGCAGCTGCTGTTCCTCCCGGCGAAGCTCTTGCTCGAGCTCTTGGCGGCGCAGCTGCTGTTCCTCCGGTTCCTGGAGGAGCTGTTCCTCCGCTCGGAGCTTTCTGTCGCGCTCCTGGCGGCGCAGCTGCTGCTCTTCCCGTTCCAGAAGCTGTTTCTCCTCGCGGAGCTTCCTTTCGCGCTCCTGGCGCAGCTCTTGCTCGAGCTCCTGGCGGCGCAGCTGCTGTTCCTCCCGGTCCTGGAGGAGCTGTTCCTCCGCTCGGAGCTTCCTGTCGCGCTCCTGGCGCAGCTGCTGTTCCTCCCGGTCCTGGAGGAGCTGTTCCTCCGCTCGGAGCTTCCTGTCGCGCTCCTGGCGCAGCTGCTGTTCCTCCCGGTCCTGGAGGAGCTGTTCCTCCGCTCGGAGCTTTCTGTCGCGCTCCTGGCGGCGCAGCTGCCGTTCCTCCTGGCGAAGCTCTTGCTCCAGCTCCTGGCGGCGCAGCTGCTCTTCTTCCCGTTCCCGGACGAGCTGTTTTTCCTCCCGGAGCTTTCTGTCGCGCTCCTGGCGGCGCAGCTGCTGTTCCTCCTCACGGAGCTTTCTGTCTTCTTCCTGAAGGCGTCTTTTCTCCTCTCTTTCCTCCCTCAGGAGCTGCTCTTTCTCTCGCTGCAGCTGCTCCTCCTCCTGGTACCGTCTCTCCTGTTCCTGGCGCCTCTTCTCCCGTTGCAACTTCTCCTCCTCGCGCTGCAGCTGCTCTTCCTCCCTCCGCAGCTGCTCCTCCTCCTGGTACCGTCTCTCCTGTTCCTGGCGTCTCTTCTCCCGTTGCAACTTCTCCTCGCGCTGCAGTTGCTCTTTCTCCCGTTGCAGCTGCTCCTCTTCGCGCTGCAGCTGCTGGCGCAGAGCAGGCTTGGAGTACAGTGTGTGGCGGCGCCTCTGGCTTTCCTCCTCTAGTTGCCACCTCCATTTTTGGTCGCGGAGCAGCTCCTCCTGGCGCCGCTCTTCCTCCAGGAGCTGCTCCTCCTGCTCTAGGAATTGCCGCTCCCGCCTCCGCTCGAATCCCCGTTGGCTCAGGCGCTGCTCCTCCTCCTGCAGTTCCCGCAGCCGCTGCTCGCGCTCCCGCAGCCGCTGCTTGCGCTCCTGCAGCCGCCTCTCCGCCTCCTCCTCCTGCTCCTGGCGGCGCCTCAGCGGCCCCTGCCTGCGCGGCCGCGAGTACACCTTGCTCTGCCGGGCTTCGGCCTCGCTTTCCAGCTGCCGCTGCCACCGCAGGGCGCGGCTCTCGCCCAGCTCGCCGGACTCTTCTTGCAGCTCCTCCTCCTCAGCCAGCTCCTGCTCCCGCCTCCGCTGCTGCTCTCGCCGCTCCTCCTGCTCGCGCCTCAGCTGCTCCAAGAGCGGCTCCTGCTCCCGCCTCAGCTTCTGTTCCAAGCGTGGTTCCTGCTCCCGCTCTCGCCTCAGGAGTTGCTCCCGCCTCTCTTCCTGCTCCCGCCTCAGCTTCTCCAAGCGCGGTTCCTGCTCTCGCCTCAGCTCCTGCTCCCGTTCCCGCCTCAGCTTCTCCAAGCGCGGTTCCTGCTCTCTCCTCAGCTCCTGCTCCCGCCTCAGCTCCTGCTCGCGCCTCTCCTCCTGCTCCCGCCTCAGCTGCTCCAAGAGAGGCTCCTGCTCCTGCTCCTGCTCCCGCATCAGCTGCTGCTCGCGCCTCTCTTCTTGCTCCCGCCTCAGCTTCTCCAAGCGAGGCTCCCGCTCTCTCCTCAGCTCCTGTTCCCGCTCCTGCCTGAGCAGTTGCTCTCGCCTCTCTTCCTGCTCCCGCCTCAGCTTCTCCAGGCGCGGTTCCTGCTCCCGCCTCAGCTCCTGCTCCCGCTCCTGCCTGAGCAGTTGCTCTCGCCTCTCTTCCTGCTCCCGCCTCAGCTTCCGTTCCAAGCGTGGTTCCTGCTCCCGCCTGAGCTCCTGCTCTCGCCTCTCTTCCTGCTCGCGCCTCAGCTGCTCCAAGAGCGGCTCCTGCTCCTGCTCCTGCTCCCGCCTGAGCTCCTGCTCCCGCCTCAGCTTCTCCAGGCGCGGTTCCTGCTCGCGCCTCTCTTCCTGCTCCCGCCTCAGCTGCTCCAAGAGCGGTTCCTGCTCCTGCTCCTGCTTCCGCCTGAGCTCCTGCTCCCGCCTGAGCTTCCGTTCCAGGCGTGGTTCCTGCTCCCGCCTCAGCTGCTGCTCGCGCCTCTCTTCCTGCTCCCGCCTCAGCTCCTGCTCCAGGGGCTCCTGGCGCCCGCGCCTAAGCCTCTGCAGCTGCTCTTCCACCTCCTCCTCCTCCAGGCGCTTCCTTCTCAGCTCCTGCCGTTCCCGCCGGGGTAGCTGCTCCTCTTCCTGGAGCTCGCGCAGTTTCTCCTCAAGGCGCTGGCGCTCTCGCTGCTCCCGCCTTTCTAGCCTTTGCTCTTCTCGGTCGGGAAACTCCTCCTGCGCCAGCCCCTTGCGCTCTTGCAGCTCCTCTTCCTCCTCGAGGAGCGCCTCCTGCTCCCGCCTCTGCAGCCGCTGCTCGCGCCTCTCTAGCTTCTCCCTCGGCTCCTCTTCCTCAGCGAGCTCCCTCTCTTGTTCCTGCCTCTTCTGCCTGCGTTCCTCTTCCTCCTCCCTGTCCCGGGGGTCAAACCTCCTCTGGTCTTCTTGCCTGCGGTCTAGTAACGGGGCCCCTTTCCCCTCACCCGGGGCTTCCTCCTCCAGCCCGGAGGCCTCGGCCAGCGCGTAGTAACAAGCCTGAGCCACTTTGAAAATGAACAGGAGGTACTCGTTGAAATCGACCAGCCCGTTACAGTCGCGGTCCAGAAGTTCCAGGATCAAGTCTACCGTTTCAGGATCATGTGGTCGCTAAAAAAAAAAAAAAAAAAAAGAAAGATGAAGACAATTTTTTTTTAATGTACCATTTACAGTTAGTAAACTTCCTCACACAATATACATTTTACGATGTGCAGACACTCAAAAGGCATAAGAGAGAAGAGAAAAATCCCAGTGTGTATGGTGGAGTTTTGTTGCCCTCATGTAAAATGTGAATACCTCGTTTCATAGCATACACTTGTTGGAAGTGTTTCCATCTTGTAATTTAATGCTGATTAAAAGAATGCAAATTCTCTTTAGCTGGGTGGATAAGAACGAACTCATCCTCAACAGAGAAATACAATGGCTCTTTATGAAGATGTGCAACAGCCATTTCTGTCTGAAATAGCTGGTTCCTTTGACTTGACTTTTATTTTTTGTTTGAAAAGAGAACAAAACATTTACGGTAACACCATTCATTGGTGGACAATATGAATTTATTGAAATTTGCAACTAATTTTAAATTCCTTTCAAGTCTAGTTTGATCTGACATCTTTGGTGATAACCTTCCATGACCACCAGCTCACTCACATTGTCATTGCCATCAAGTACATGAAATAATTGCTAGTAACTTCTTTTGTACTCAGACTATAATGACAGATATCTTCAGGCTCAAAAATGAATGGGAATGGAGTAGAGAGCTATCATGGTGTAAAATGAATATAAAGTCACCATTCCTTGCTCCTGAGAAGGAATTTCATAACCCAAATGAACAGAGAAATGTCCTTTTCTTCATATGTCTTACCCGAAGAATAGCTCCAAATTCCCTTTCAAGGAGGTCCTTCAGGTCTTTCTTGCACAGTGCTGCTCCATCACAATCATGTGAGGCATATTGATTGAAAACTTCAGTGATATCGAAGATGCTTCTCAGAAGTGGAGACATTTTTTCTTCCTTAAGTTCAAGTAAACCTAAAACAATAAAATAGGATCCAGAATTAAACTCTGTTTCTGATCTTTGGGAGGTTTTATCCCCACTGTTTTGGGCAGATCCTTAAGTAATTTGACTTTACAGTAGTAGCTATTTTCAACCTGGACTTTCAAAGCATTTTATTTTTCAATATTGTACAGCCCTTAGAAAAGGGAAGAGAGATCCCGAGAAACGTCAAGCCTGGGAATTATCTGCAGACTGTCCTGTAGTCAGCTTTCAGATTGTTCACACAAGCTGAATGAATTATCCATCTCTTCCTCCTCCCTAATAAATTTCAGATCAGCCAGTGTAGAGAATAACGTAGAAACTCATAGTCTCTGCCTCTAAAAGGGTAGGTAAAAGCCAAAAGGTGAAGGAAAATCTGAAAGTATCTTATAGTGACTAGAAGCCACACACACCTAGGTGTGGAGCAAAACATTTAGTGGCAACTAGAACATTAAAAAGGGAATATGGATTATTTCCCAACATTATAGCCCATAAAAGATCTAGGAATATAATTCATAAATCAGCAGTTCTAAGATTAAGCACTACTTTCTCCGTAGTGAAAGGTGGCATTGTAACATTCAGATAAACCAATGCAGAAAACAAAGAGTACATTTTATCTGCTTTAACTAAGATATATCACAGATATTCAATTATTGAAAGCTCTGAGAGGTACTTTCTGATTGGCTACCAGGGTCAATGAGTCAAATTGAACCTGGACAAATTTGAATAACATTGGTTTTATTGTTAGCTTTTGTTAAACCCAAATAAACCATTTGAGTCTCGGCATTATAAAAAATGGAACTTTGCCAAAACCGGTTTGGCTCAGTGGATAGAGCGTCGGCTTGGGGACTGAAGGGTCCTGGGTTTGATTCCGGTCAAGGGCATGTGCCTTGGTTGCGGGCACATCCCCGGTAGGGGGTGTGCAGGCAGCTGATCGATGACTCTCTCTCATCGATGTTTCTAGCTCTCTATCTCTCTCCCTTCCTCTCTGTAAGAAATCAATAAAAATATATTTAAAAAAAATGGAACTTAGCCAGAGCAGATATCCATGTTAAAAAGAATACATGGGAAGTTTCACTGACTGGGTGAGTATAGTGGTTCATCTAGCTGGCTTTTTTAATTACCAATCAACTTGAAATACTGCAGATACCATAAGTATATATGAAGATGGCCCATATTGGGTAGAACCAATAAAAAAAGAGAACCAAGTGTTGGTAAACTTTGGAGACAGCAGTTTTTAGAAAGATGAACCCCATCAGAGTCACACATAACTATCTTCCAACCCCTGACATGTGAACATTCTTATAGAGTTCAGAGTCTTGAGAGGAGACCATGTCTCTATTTGAATAATGGCTCCAACCATAAGAAGATGGCCTGGAGTTAGACATCTCTGTAAGATACTGATGTCTCTGACACTATAGACAACCCCCATTCCTTTCCCCCTGACCCAACATCTACAACAACTGGAAAATGAAGAAACATACAGAAGAACATGATCCCATTGAATGGGACTTACCCACTTCACCAGAGAGAGAAGTTGAGTGCTCGCTGACACCACTGGCAAGTGTACTGGGCAGCTGGTAGCCGGGTCTTTTATAGGGGTTCTAATTGTGCCCTGCAGACCTACTTGGGAAGGAGACACCCACTCTGTGGGATGGCCTGATTCATTCCTAACCAAGCCCAGCTCCACCTCTGTCTCCACAAATGGTTTGTTTATCTCACTATTTGCTCAAGTACCTATTTGGCATGAGGTTCACAGACCTTGCCTCCTGACAGGGTACTGGCCCCACCTAACATAAAAGGATAGAATATTTGACAAAATCTCTAATTTTTTAAATGGTTAAAGTGAAATAAAACAATAAAACAAACATCAATGTTCAGAACCTTAATTAATTATGATTTTATTTCAAAGTAGTGACTTCTAAGCCATTTACTATATAAAAAAAAATCTAATGTATAGGCTGGGATCAAACAGAAATCTTGACATGAACTAGTGAGAACTAGTTAATTTCTCTCTGAGATGTGATAGTTCATGGGGAGCTGCGGATAGCCCTGTCTGAAACAATTCTTGGACAATGAAAGGGTATAAGGAATTGATTTTAGTTTCTTCTCTAAAATGCAAATGGGAAAAAATTGCACTTGTACTCTCGGGTCTTATAATGATTTTCCTATAGGGTGGGGGGGATTGTCTTCTTCGTAAACAATTTTGGGTGTTCATTTAAAAATATTTAATTCAATTACTTATAAGAGAATTTGAAATCTGTCAAATTTCTTTCTTAGGGATGTGACATCTAAATGAAGTTTTCTCTTTTCTCATTAACATATTGATGCTCCCGGAGAAAAAGAGCTGGTGTAATCTGTTTTTTTTTTTTTTTTAAAGATATAATCATCCTGCTCAGCTCAAGTCACTAATGATTACAACACCGAAACACTTGACTCTGCTTCTCTTGGAAGTGCATTAAGGTAATCGGCCACTCTAGCACATTATATCTGCCGGAACTTTCTCAACCTTGGAGATCATTTGCAAACCCCAGTGCTGTTTTATTGTAAGGAACTGGATTTTATCCTTGGTTGTCAGTGACTCCCACCCCTACATTTCAGACTATATGAAACTTGGCTTCCAAATACGTTTATGGGGACTATTAAACGATCCAGTGGCTTTTGGCATTTTGGTCTCCTTCTTTGTTTCACAGAGGCAAGTACATGTTGAAGGTCCTTCAATGGAATGTAATTTGGAGCCTAAATCTTGATGGTCCAAGTGATGATGGAATTGAATTCTATTTGGCTCCTTTTTGCTGCCCTCTCAGAGGTGGGGGGAGAGGAAAGTGGAAACAATAAGGTGATGGGAAGGCAACTGTTAGCCTGGTTCACTTTTGGGATCTAGGGTTTTTCCTAGAACTGTCACTTTTCTTGGGATCAGTTAGCAAACTTGATGTAGCAGCTCCTTAATGAAGAGTAAAGATCCCCCCCCTTCTCCTCCCCTCTATTTAGGGGTTTATTCAATTATTTTCATTCTTGAATTCTAGGATAGAACTATCATAAGCACTACAACCACAAATCACCATGAAACCTCTATCTCTCACAGAGGATATGTGCCTTAAAAAAAAAAAAATCCTCAGAGAAACATCGATGTGAGAGAGATCCATCAATTGGTTGTCTCCCACCTGTGCCCTGGGGCTAGAAATCAAACCTGCCACCCTTTTGTGCATGGGCCATCACAGTAACCACTGAACACCACCAGCCAGGGTGCATATGAGCCTTTTTTTTATGAATGTCCTTCAAGGAATTCTCTGGGCAAACTCTGCCTATGTCTGGTTCTCTTTTTATCCACCTGTGTGTAGTCTGTGAGGAACCTTAGCTCAGGTGGTGGGATGCATTTGTGGGATTCTATTACTTTACTATAGTCAAAGCAGTCCAAAGAGGACCAGACATTCACTAGCTTCTATGAGAACAAAGGGAAAATATTAATCATTCCAAAATCATGTTTGAGCAAGCAAATCAAATAGAGAAGCAAACCCAAAAGGAAAATGCTTTCAAACAGCCTTGAGAAAATGGCCGAAATTGCATTCACTGTAACAAACTATTCCCTACTCTGAAAGAAGCTAAATCCAGTGATGGCTCTCTTATCCACTCTCATTTAAAGTCAGGATATCACAAGGAAAAATATTAAAAAACCTGAACCAACCTAAGAGAATTATCCTGTCTTCCTTGCTGCTCTTGGTCCATCATCAGAAAGATTGTGAGTAGGTTCAAATGCTAAAATTCTAAAATCAGGTTTGATATTCTTCGAATGAAGTGGCCCTGTTGCTACATAATGTCCTTTTATTTAACACAGTATCATTATTTAAAAATATCATTTTAAGTGATATTTAAAATGTTATGCCCTGGGACACCACCTCTGCCCATCCAAAACCAGAGAACCAGACTTAGGCAGGGTTCTATGTAGAAAACATAGAATGTAGAAAAGAATCAAGTACTGACATTGGTTCAGTCCATTTTTTGGAAAGACCAACTGAGAATCCCTGGAATGAGACAGTGTCCACTCATTGTGGCTCATCAAAAAAGAATGGTGTTTGTATAATCTGAGCATCTTAAATCTCCTTGATAGACAAAACGCCTCATTATCTTTCTTTTATAAGACTGGAGACTGAGGCACCAAAAGGTCAGAGAACGTTCCTGACTGGCCCAGGAGTGACCTATGTACTCCTTCCTGCTCCATTCTGTAAGAATATCCTTCTTGACCAAGGATTAATGCCAATGGGTTCAGAGCATAGCTACAGGATTGTACTGATACTTGGCTTTGAGATGTGAGCTCTTTATTACAGTAGAATTGAAAAAAGAGAAAATAAAATTTATATCATTCATTCCTGAAGCCTCATCTGAGCTTGAAATCTTTGGGAGTGGAGCTCTGCCGTGTTAACAAATAAAACTAACAAAGAACCAGGTTTTCCTGGTCTTCAACTCATTCAAAGGCTCTTTTCCCATTTTCTCCGGTCAGAATCCGGAAAAAGTAGATAATGGATTTGACATTCTGAGGTATTTGACCAGGATCAAACCCTGTCTTGATCTTAGATAAATCAGAGAAGGTGCTAGGGTCATTTTCAGCTAATGTGCTTTTCCAGAGCCCACTATGGGCCATGACATGGAACGCTGGGAAAATGTCCAAGTGGGATGACTTTAAGATGGCTTTATATAAAGTAGATTCTTTAAAAAAAAAAAAAAAAAAAAAAAAAAAAAAAAAATATATATATATATATATATATATATATATATATATATATATATATATATAATTGATTTTTTACAGAAAAAAAGAGAGAGGGATAGAGTTAGAAACATCAATGAGAGAGAAACATCAATCAGCTGCCTCAGCCACATTCCCTACTGGGTACGTGCTCGCAACCAAGGTACATGCCCTTGACCTTGACCTGAATTGAACCTGGGACCCTTGAGTCTGCAGGCTGATGCTCTATCCACTGAGCCAAATCAGTTAGGGCAAAAAAAAAAAAAAAAAAAAGTAAGATTCTTTGGTGATCTCTCTAAATACCTCTCAATGAAGACCTTTTCTTTAAAATTATATGTTAAACCTTTTAAGGTTTTCTATTACTTCTTCTTATTCATTGATCCATGCCCTGAAACACTATCTCTGCCCGTTGAAAAATCTACTGTATTTTCTCTGAGGCCTCATGCAAATTCTATCTGCCCTCCCAACCCTTCCTCGACCTTTCCATATAACAATCTTCCAATTAAAAAAAATTTATTTCCACAGCATGCATCGTCAGCATTGTACAACCCAGCACTAGTGTGTCATTTCTATATTTTCCTCTAATTTAATGGATGCTTGCTTTGTCTTCTTGATTAGGTTTTAAGTTCCTTGGAGGCAGTGCTGTATCTTTTATTTCCACCAGGTGTTTAGTAAAATCCTTGCTGATCTGATGTAATTTTATTGCACGGCAGCAGTTTAAATGGCCAAGTTTGAATGGGATGAGTCGCTTGATCTGGGATGGAGTTCTGTGATTTGGGTGATGGCCTGAGGATGAGGGCACACACCATCATGGGAGTTTTGCTACTTACAGGCCAGATGACAGAGGAAGCATCACTCCACCCCTCTCTGCCTCCCCCATGCCCATCACTTCACCCCTCTGTTATGTGAGGTGCTATGAGATATGAATCCCTTCCTCAGAGGGAGCTGTGATAATTATAGCTTGTAAAGCATTTTGTGACTCTTGGATATAAAAGGGCTAATTATTATGATCATTAATAATTCTTAATTTTTATCTTCTTTAAGGTAAATTACCCTTACTTTAATTACAACCCCACCCTGGTGGTAATTATTACCTCTGAGAGTCAGCAGATGCTTTTCCATCTTACATCACGTCATACAGGGTGACTGAGCACGGCCGAGCACCAGAGGGCACTTCCACCTCTGCCCACTCCAGCTGTCACCCAGAGTGCAGAGAGCTGCTGGCTCTCTTTGCCATGGAGGTGGCCATAGATTTCAAGTGCTCTGTTTTCTCTGTTCTGTAACTGTGTCTTTCTCCTAACCAGCAGCTCCTCAATTTCATGGAGCTTTGGGGTTTGTCAAAAGATAAACTGCATCGGGGAAAAAAACATTATTATTATTATTATTATTATTATTATTATTATTTTGTATTTTGGTGAATACTCTGAAGGAAGCAGGCATTTTTGATTGGGCTGTGAAGATTTTATTTATTTTATTTTTTTGGTATCTCAGATAAAAAGGTTGGCAGCTGCCATATGGAAGAAGCTTTTCAAAGGTAGAGGTGCTGTGTGACATTTTCTCTTTTCATGGATGTAGATCTGTTTCTAGTCAAATGGGAAGTCACTCTTTGGGATGAGATGAGGATTGTATCTAAAGAACAACAACAAAAAACTTTGTAAGAGAGGTTTTGCTTCTGTTAACAAGGCATAACATAAAGGAGGTTTGCACTCAGTAGATGCGTTAGGTTGTGTGGGTAGAGGTCATGGCCTCCCAGATGTGGAAAGAGCACTTTGAGCATGAGTGCCAGTCTGGCTGGGGTTGTGTCCTCCAGGCCCAGAC